GGTGAACGGGGCGGGAGTGCCTTTGGAGGGACAGGCGGACGGTCAGAGACGGGAGGATGTGCGCAACCTCCCACAGCCACTGAGCGGGGAGGGGGCGACCCCAGAGGCCTCTGCCCACCGGGCTGCAGTCACCGCTTCTCAGAGACGGGCCACCCCCCACCCCCCGCCCATGGCTCAGGTGAGGGCCCTTCCCCGGAACAGCGCCGGCCCCCAGGTGGAGAAGGTTCCTTAAGGGCCTCTTTTCTCCCCTCCATCACAGCTGGGAACACGGGGCACACTGCAGGGCTTGGCCGGGACAGAGGGCGAGCTCAGGCACATAGTAGGTGCTCGATAAATCTCTGGTAAGTGGCCCGGCCGGCGTGGCTCAGTGGTTGAGCGTCGACCTATGAACCAGGAGGTCAGGGTTCGATTCCCAGTCGGGGCACATGCCCGGGTTGCAGGCTCTGTCCCCAGTGGGGGGCGTGCAGGAGGCAGCTGATGGATGATTCTCTGTCACCATCGATGTTTCTCTCTCTCTCTCTCCCTTCCTCTCTGAAATTAATAAAAATATTTTTTTAAAAAGAAAGTTGTGCTTTCCCACAGAGTGCTCCGGCTGGGATGCTGTCCACGGCCCTTAAGGACCTGGGGCCGCTGTCCGCGGTCCTGACCACCTGGCCGCTGGCCGCGGTCCTGACCACCTGGCCGCTGGCCGCGGTCCAGTAAGCCAGATGGGGGGGGTCTACTTCCCAGATGGGGGGGTCTACCTCCAACATTTTGTCCCAACAGCCTCTCCTGGGTTGGATGCGTGTTCTGTTCCTCTGCCCTTTCCAGAATGGGTCCCCCCACCAGCCCCCCTCCCACAAGCACCTTGGGTCAACAGGTGGAGCACGTGAGCACCTATGTGGCCACCGTGGTCCATCCCTGTGTCCCTCCTGTCCTTGCCCCAGTGAGATGGTTCGCTCTCCACCAAGAGAACAGGCCTGTGAGGAGGGGTGGGGTGGGGAGCAAGCTGATGGACTCAACAGAGAACAAGACAAACGCATCTCTGCCCTCACCTCCTCCTTCTCGCCGCCCTGCAGGTCTCTCCACTCCTCGATGGGCTGGCCGAGGTCCACCGTGTTCATGGGCACCTTCACCTCCCCGATGATGTCGTGCTTGGAGAAGCGGTCGAAGTCGTAGATGGCCATCACCAGGGTCTTGCCCCCCAGCTCCTGGTACGGCACCTGCAGGGCACAGGCGGGGTCAGAGCAGGTCGGGGCGGCTCACACACCTGCGGGGGCTGCTGTGGGCCGGGCCCTGGGCCCAGCGTTCTCCCCGCTGCCCACGGGACTCCCGGTGAGGCCGTGGAGATGGAGGGAAGACCTGGGCTCTGGGGGAACAGTTGGGGTTGGGGGGGGCCCGATCCAGCCGCCCTCGTTCCAGGCTGGTTGGTTCCGTGAACTCAGCCACGGCATGGAGCCGGGAGAGGTGAGCAGGAGGCAGGCGGGCCTGGGGTCCGCCCTCCGGCCCTCGTCACCTTGAAGGTGAAGGTTTCGTTGAAGGCGGGGTTCAGCGTCTTGCGGTGCACTTTGGTCTCGTATTTCTTCTTCTTGTCTGGGAGGAGGAAGACTTTGACGTAAGGGTCTGAGGTGCCTCCCATGTCCAGGGCGGGCAGTTCTGCGGCCTGCAGCACGCCGACGGTCAGCTGTGGAGACAGGGGGCCGCGGAGTCTCAGGAACGCCCCTCACCCGCTCTGCCTGAGCAGCACCAGCCACCCTCCCAGAGGCCGGGGTCCAGGGGCAAAGCTGGTGCAGGAGAAGGATCGTCCCCCCTTCACCCCCAAGAACTCGGGACGACCCAGGGGTCACCGGAGTTGAGAGGCCACCGACTGGCCCAAGGTCGGGTGCGTTAATGGAGGGAGTGGGGCCAGAGGTCCTTCCAGCCTGCCCCTGCGCGGAGAGGGGTTGTTTCTGTCCCCTGCCGCCCGCCTCCAGCCGCCCACCTGGTTGGCCTGGAAGTCGTAGTCCAGGGAGAACTGCAGCTTGCCCAGGTTCTCCGGTTCCTTCTCCTCCTCGCCCTCCCCCTCCCCCTCGGTGAGGCCAGCCTCTGCATCGTCATCGTCCTGTGGGGGCTGCGGAGAGAGGGACAGAGTTAGGAGAGGACAGAGCGGCCCGGCCCAGCACAGGGGCCGTGGGAAGAGGGCCTCTGTGCAGATTCCAGCTCAGAGTCAGGGGAGGGACAGGGACGGGAACTGTGGGGGCGGGCAGTCCTCCAGGGCCCCGCCCTGTGCCTCTCCCCTGCAGGACCAAGCATCTCCCTTGTCAGCCCTCCCCCGCCGCCCCCATACTCCCCCCAGCTCAGGCCCCACACACCCTGGGCAAGACTTACCGGGCAGGCGAGCAGCCCCGGCGAGCAGGAGCAGGGCGAGTCCACAGAGTGGGGAGAGAGGGAGAATGTGGTCAAGAGAAAAACTCTGCAGCCCAGACAGGCCCCTGGGGTCACAGCTACTGGGGGGGGGCCTCCCAGATGGGGGACCTGGCTAGACTGTGCCCAGGGTGTTCTTGGAGCCCCCATGCCCCCCACTGCAGGCCCCTTCCCCCCATAGGCATGTGCACATATATACACACATGTGCGCACATGCACACCTGAACAGAGGTGTATTGTGCACGTACACATATGTGCACACAAACACACACAGAGGTGTTTGCTTCCTGGCCAGTTCTGAGGTCAGGCCCTTCCTCCACTGTCTACCCTCCCCTTGGGTTGACTCCTGAGCAGGAAACTGCTCCCGTCACCCCCGGGCAGGGTGGGGGATCTCCCCGGAGCCTCTGCAAACTTCGAAGGGGAAACCTGGGTGTGTGAGGACCTTCCAGCTGACCGGCCCCAAAGGACAGGGTGAATGATGACAGGACTGTACTTGGCCTCGTCCAGTCCCCGCCCTGCCCCCAGCTAGAGGCTGTGGGACCTCCGACAGGAGCCATAGTTCACTCCTGGGGTGGCCTCCCAGATGGAGGGTCTCCCTCCAACATTTTGTCCCAACAGCCTCTCCTGGGGTCGATGCGTGTTCTGTTCCTCTGCCCTTTCAAGAACGGGTCCCCCCCACCAGCCCCCCTCCCACAAGCACCTTGGGTCAACAGGTGAAGCCGCAGGCATAGCCAGTGGGGACCGTGCACAGTCTGGGGGGGACCCCGGTGGCTGCAGAGCCCAGTGGCCCTCCTTGGCCTCTGAGGGGCAGGAGTGCCCTCCCGTGCCCTCCACCCCCCCCCGTCCTACCTGCCCGCCCTTCATGTCCTTCATGCTCATGGCATTCTTGGCGCCCTTGCCCTTCTCCTTCTTGTTCTTCTTCTTCCGGCAGCAGCACTTCTTGCAGATGCAGAAGCAGCAGGTGAGGAGCAGGAGGCCGGCCACCACGGTGATGGCTATCAGCGCCCAGGGCGGCACTGCCCACAGGAGAGCATGGACGTCAGCAGGGCTCGGCCCTGGGTGGGGACCGTGGCCCCTGCCCAGCCCACCCTGTTCAACCACACACTCGTGCGCGATCTTCAGGGAAGTTGCCTGTGCTTCACCTGCCTTATCACGGGTACCTAGCCCACGGCCCCGTGGACACGCCTGCCAACGGGGAGATGCCTTCAGGCTGAACGTGCCGGGAGGTGAACTGGGCTCTACGGGCGTTGACCAGTCTGACCCATGGGGAACTGGGCGGATTGCAGAGGGTGGGGAGGTTCTCGGACAAGGTGGGAAGATCCCACAGAGTGCCCAGGCTGGGGTGCTGTCCACGGCCCTTAAGGGCCTGGGACCGCTGTCCGCGGTCCTGACCCACCTGACTGCTGTCCGCGGTCCTGACACCTGACCGCTGTCCGCTGTTCTGACCCACCTGATCGCTGTCCGCGGTCCTGACCACCTGATCGCTGTCCGCGGTCCTGACCACTATATAAGCTGGTGAGGCTGAGTGTGGCCTCTGTGTCTCCCACACAGACTTAGCCAGGAGGTCACAAGGCAGGGGCACCATAAGGTACAAAAATGTCCATCACTGCCCGCCCGGTGCGGCTCAGCAGTTGAGCATTGACATATGAACCAGGAGGTCACTGGTTCTATTCCCGGTTGGGGCACATGCCCGGGTTGCAGGCTTGATCCCCAGTGTGGGGCGTGCAGGAGGCAGCCGATCCATGATTCTCTCTCATCATGGATGTTTCTCTCTCTCTTTCCCTCTCGCTTCCTCTCTGAAATCCATTTTTTAAAATATATATTTTTTAATATTTTGTTTTCATCTTTTGACAGTTTTCTAAATTGTATAAGAACTTGTTTCCCTGGGAGGTTGGGCCACATATACCCCCTGCTCCCTTCAGTAAGCCAGCCCACATTCCCCATTATCGACAGGGCGCCCCAATAATACAGCCTAAACCCGGTTCAGGAAAGAACCCAGCCAATCGCGCCCCTGGGCATCCCCACCCACACCCAGCCTCGGGGACACTCACGGGGGATCTTGTTCATCTCGTTGAAGAATTTCTCCTTTATCTTGGCAAACATGTCTTCCTTGCTCCCTCCGGCACCCCCACTCTCGGTGGAGTTGCCCACGGGCCCGGCGGGCATGGTGGCCGTGGTGGTGGCCGGAGCCGCCTCGGGCTGCTGGTTCTTCTTGAAGATGTTCCACATGGTGGCCGCGGGGGTGGCTGTGGGTGAGAGAGGAGGGGCAGGTGAGCATCCAGGGCCCCCTCCCAGTCCTGTGGCCAAACACCAGGGCTTTGTCCCCTCCAAGAGCTGTGTCGCCCTGATCACTCAGAGCCTCACACTTGCTGTTCTCTGGACCAGAAATGCTCTTCCCGCAGACCCCACGGGGCTCACTTCCACTCCGCGAGGTCCCCTGGGACTGCCGGCCCCTCCTCCTGCACTTGTCACCGACAGGCTGTGTTTTAATTGTTGTCTGCCCTTCACTGGGATTTAAGAACCATGACTGCAGATCTTTGACCACACCTAGTAGGTGCTCAGGGACATACGTGAGGAACAGGCGGGTCAGAGGTCTGGTCTTGGCGATGCCGTGCCCTCTGGCCTCCTAGCCCTTGCCCGGCCCTGAACGATGGTGGTATCAGCAACTTAGGTTTAAAAAACAAACAAACAAGTGTCAGCCCAGCCGGTTTGGCTCGGTGGATAGAGCGTCGGCCCGTGGACTAAAGGGTTCTAGGTTCAATTCCGGTTAAGGGCGTGTACCCTGGTTGCGGTACGTGCTGGAGGCAACCAATCAATGGGCCTTGTCACATCCATGTTTCTCCCTTTGTGTCTCTCCCCTTCCTTCCACTCTCTGAGGCCGCACAGCCGTGCTCCTTCCCCACAGCACAGCCGCCTCCACCCCAGGACGAGTCGCTACCCAGGGCGCAGGGTGCGGGCATCGGGGCAGGAACCCAGCAAGAAGGAACAGCGGAGTCCCCGGGGCTGGGGAGCTGCCCGGCCCCCCTCGCCGCTCAAGCTGCACTCCTGGGGAGGCAGCGGCTGGCGGAGCTGAGGATGATGGATGACCGGGGGCTCCAGGGGCCCTGAGCGGAGTGAGCACCTCTGTCTGCTCAGAACTGCCCGAGCGGGAAAGCGTGAGACAGGCCATTAGGCAGAGATGCCGCGGGTGCTGGGCCCGGGCGCGTGGAGGCACCTGCTCGCCGGCCTGCAGGTCTGAAGAGGGTGGCAGGGCCGGGTGAGGCGGTAGGTGCATGCGGTCCCGGCACACGTATCTATGAGCGCTCGTGAGCGGCCACGGGAACCAGCCACGTGTGGCCCGGGGTGGGTAGGTGGGTGTGACCACCTCTCTGCCTGGGACCAACTAGAGTGACCAACTACGCCTCCCCCGGGCCACGCCTCCCGGGGCCACGCCTCCCGGGGCCACGCCTCCCCGGGGCCACGCCTCCTCGGGGCCACGCCCCCGGGGCCCTCCTTACAACACGCAGGAACATCCCTTAACTCCAAACACTCAGAGGTTGTAGTCCTGGGTGGAAACTAATGGAAACTCCACCACCCACACCTGGCAGGTGGGCTGCAAGGGAGTTAGACTAGAGGCGGGGATGTGACACCCACGCCCACACTCACCACCACCTGCCCCCCCCAAACCAATGGACCAGGACGTGGGGACCACACTCCCGCGGACGGTCCCCCTCGGGCCTGGCCTCAGACGACGCGGATAACAAGGAGCTACTGGACACAACTTCTTTCATCTTCCCGACCTGCATTTGCAGACGCCGCGCTAATGAGATGGAAGCAGGCTACCCAGCAAGATGCCTCTCGCAGGAGCGCACAGGATAGCAAAGTTCAACCCTTAAGGATGAATTTATGCCGTTATTTTCCGGACCCGTGGGTCCCGGGAGACAGGGGGTAAAGTTTTCATGAATTCATTTCCGGGCACGTTTCGATAATGAACTGCCCGTGTCTGTGCGTTCCCTGTGTGCAGAGGCCGGTGCGTCTTCCCGGGCGGGACAAGGCGGCCGCTGCGGCCACTGAGGGCTGGAAAGTCCTTCCTGAGTCTAACTTCAATCTCTCCTGCTGCGACAACTCATTTCCCTTCTCTTGCATCGAAGCTGCGCTCAGCAATCCCAGGCCCTTTGAGAGGAGGCCGGGCGGAGGCCTGAGGCTCGGAGCGGAAGGCCAGGTGCCGGCCTGGTTCCCCGGCTCAGCCACCCTCTGAACCTCGAAGTGAGGGTTGGCCCTCCTGTTCTGCAGGCCTGCAACCCTCAGCCCCACACGCCTGCTGTGGGGGTTTCTCTCTGAACCCAGAGGTTGGGAGCAGGTCTTTTTAAACCGCAAAGTGCTGGGTTGTGTGAGCTCGGGGAACCTGCAGAAAATGCAGAGCAAACGGAGAAACTGAGGCCCCAGAGGGACGCGGGTCCCGGCCCATCACACGAGTCACCTGCTGAATGGGGCACAGCCTCCCACCCCCGCGTCCTGCTCTCTGTAGCCCCAGCGAGCCCCCGCGTCCTGCTCATCCTTCGCCAGCTCTGTGGGTACAGGGGTGAGGGGCATGGGCGCCCCAACGCTACCCCGCAGGACCGCAGCTTGCACCGGAAGAGACCATGAGCCCGGCTGTACCACGCGCTCCACTGGAAGAGAAGGTTGCTGAGTCACCGTCCACCCGGCTGGTCAGGGAGCAGCCTGCTGGGGGTCCCCCACTGCCAGCTCAGGGGCCCCCTGCTGCCTCCATGCCTTCCCCCCAGACTCAGAACACTGGGCTTTCACTGGGTCCCCCTACCCAGCAGCCTTCGGGGTCTCCCACTCCTGCAGGCAGGGTCTTTCAGGGACCAGTGCCAGGATGCTCGGGGAGCAGGCTGGAAAGGGTGGGGACCCCAAATGGGTGACTGAGTGGGGACCCATGAAAGCTTGGAGGTCAGCGGGCTCTGGGCTGCCTGCTATAGGTTATGGAAAGTGGGGTGGGGGTGCACCGCTGGGACCTGGAGGTCTGCTCACCTGTCATGGGCCTGGGGGGGTGTGTGAGCTGTGAGTGTGAGGCAGGGGTGGGCTGTGGGGGTGTGGCCCTGGTCACGCTCGAGAGGGGCTTGGGAAGGACTGGGGGGACAGGATCTGGGGCTTGGCAGGGACAAACCGATGGTCACTGCTCTGCCACCCTGGACGCCTGGGGGAGGCCGGCTGAGGAGGACACAGCCTGTCCCTGCTCCTCCCAGACCAGGCCGCCCCTGGGGGAGACGCCACTCACTCAGGAGATGCCCATTACTGCCCGCGCCTCTGACAGGCTGTGGTCTCCGGGAGGTAAGTGGGTCAGGCAAGTCCTGGGGGCACAATTACAATCCAGGAAGAAGCCAACTTCCTCCCCCGACCACCTGGGGGCAGGAACAGGAATGGGGGGGCGGGGGGG